TTTGGGGAGTCATCATTAACTTCTTTTCTCCCCATTCCACTAATTAAAGCTGCAGTTGGTCAATATTTGCCTTTAGGAAGCTCAGTCTGCCCCACTGCGTTCTCTACATCTGTGTGAGCTAACTGGCATGCAAAGGACCTCGGAAGAAAACTGTTCCAAACAGCTTCTAGCCAGTTGTACCCACACTAATTGTAAGCTTTTATGTGTGTGTATGTGTGTATATATATATTAGATGTTATTCTCAGATGCATAATTATGGACGGTTTGTGTATTATGGTGCAGACATTTTTAGTAATATTTGTAATACTCAGTAATATTCTGCATCTGGTTTTTCTGTGGATCAAAGACTGCGTGTTGGTTCTAAAAGACATTTCCCCCTCCCAAAGTTATTTTTATTACTATCATATCTATTTTTAAATTGGGGCCATTATCTTTTGCATAGGTGCACAATGGTCATACAATGTTCTGGACTCCCCACAGCATATCCATCGTCTCTTGTTTAGGTGGATTCTTGCCTCATTGATTCATATGAATTTTTTTTTAATCATATAATTGATGTGTCCTTAATTTCTGCAAAGGAACAGGGTCTGATAATCTTCTCACCCATTTTAAGATGAACTAGACATATGCCTTGTAAGTTTTTAGACTGCTTCACTTTTATAATGTTAAAGCAATTATATTCTACTATGTACAAAAAGCCACAAGGGGAAAATCTAAGTAATTATCAAGTCTAATTATACACATTTGTGGCTCAGTATTGAAGTTTCTTAGAAGAATTTTGTGATGTTATCCCAAACATGAATTTGGTCCTTCTGAAATTCAGCATTTCTTTAAAGAAAAAAAAAAAGTAGCATTAAAATTGAACTGAAAGAACGAGAGAATATGTGGCCAATAGCCATTGGTAACTGCTGATGTTTGCAGGTTTAGGGGTTATTAACTTTTTTTTTAAAATCCACTCCAGAACAGTTAATGCTAATTGTTTTAAATATGTTCTTGTGAAGATCCCTGTGTAATTGAGGGGTGCTTTGGTAAATAGTTTGTGGTATTATTTGTCCATCTCCAAATGTTTCATGGTTCCAGTAACAAGAGAGAGTGCAGCTTTACATTAGCTGCTGCGGTCACTGATGAAGGAATCTGTACTCAAAACTGCAGTCATCTTGCAACTTCTTTGTGAGAAGACAGCCGGTTTGAGAGAATCTTGCCAACATCTTTAAATCTCAAATAAGAGAGAATTTAATACTTCCTGTTTTCTATCTACAGGAAAATTGTTCCTGCAGAGGTTGAAGCTATTCAGGTTGGGAAGTTCTGAGCCGTTTAATTTTAACACTGTAGAATTTAGTGTACAAGTGGTAGAAAGGTGCTTCTGTTTCATGTCTTGTCCATGGGAAATAGGCTAATAAATGTTTTCCAATTAGAACAATCAGCTCGTCAAGGGAAACAAGCCAGTATTGGGCTTGCATCCAGTTCCTCCTAAGGCATTTTGCATCAAAGAAGATTAGTTCTGTGGCATCATCTTAAGGTTGAGGATTCACCAGGGAGTTAGAAGTACACGGGGCAGGGATGAAGGGGGGAAAGAAAAGGACCGGAACAGCAATGATTAATTATTGCTGCTCACAAAAGTAGAGAGGCGTATTTTTAGAGGTCAGTCTTCACCTCAAGTACACGATGCTTTCTTTTGTCAGATACCTCTGGCAGTGGAAAGCTGACGTAGAGAAAAATTAGTCAGTGAGGCTGCAATCTCCTGTTGTGCTCTGGCTTCAGAAGCCGGTGCTGCTATCTGGGAACAAAGTGTGGTGTAACTATGTGGGGAGAGGCGCCAATTCAGCACTGTCCTCTTAGTGGGGATCCGCTTTCACTTAATATTTTTTCTTTCAGAACATGAGTCACCTGGAAGGAGGGTGAGCGTCCGTCGCACTTTCTTCTCTTGCAGTGCGGAGGGTCAGATTTATATAGCAAGGGATGAATTATTCTTTTGGGTCAATTCAGCCCGAACTAAGCTGTCATGGCAACAACACAAAAGCTTAGCCAGCTTAGCCATGGGACAGCTACTAATATAAGTATAATTTAGCTTCAGTAGGTTATTTATAATATTTTAATTTAAGGTGGTTTTAAACTGCTTGACGGTGTACTTAGTTTTCAGATTCAGAAGAGGAAATCAATTCTGTGTTCTCCTTCAACCGCATAAAAAGTTTTCAGTGTTGCCTCATGCTTGTGGTTCCTCTGTACTGAGGTGCAATACTTTCATGTGCTGTCCTAAGCAAGAGGCTAAACTGGGCTTGAACTCTTGCTCTAAATTTTTCGGTAGGCTATGGACAAATCGATGCAATAGGCAACTACAAATACAAAATATGTTACTGTGCCACCATTAGGGATGCCTTCAGAAATAATAATGATAAAATTTAGCTGCTGGTAGAGGATTAAAGAGTTGTATTAAACATATTGTTTACATCTGTCATCTCGTGTATCACAGCAAAATTATTTAGAGTGGAATACTGATAAACTTGTCCTTCAGGTTCCTCCTAGCATGGTACAAGTGTACAAGTTACTTTTCTTTTTCTGATTATTTTTGTGACCTATGCAAAATTAATTTGACATTAATCCCCATTTCCACGTAGGTGTTCACGCTGCGTATGCCTTCTGCACCATTTCCCAGATGCGTATTTTGTAAGTCTTTCTGATGTAAAAATGGAAGAGGCAGTTATTCCACTAATGGCTAATTCTGCTTGGATTTAAAAAAAAGGGAGGAAATAAAAGCAGCGCTGGGAAGGAGTAAAGATACTCTTTATATTCTTCACTAGGGAATATTTTGGCATTGGATAGTTTGCTATCTGTTTTTCTGACATTAACTTACAACAGTTTAAATGACAGTTATTTTAAAAAGTTTGAATTGGGTGTCCTTTATGCATTGAAATATCTAGGGAAATAGTTACCTAATGATACGGGGCAACATAAAAATAAAAATCCTTGTTTTACCTGGCTTAGATTTATAATTGAGATGATTTATAGAAGAATCCACAGTGAATCTTAACCTGACCTGAAAGTTAATTAGATTACCATGGGTATTATATTCTATTCTCAGTCTTTGCAAACAGCCAGGTAAAAACCATGCAGATAGTAATCCTGTAATTCTTTACACGGAATTCCTTAAATAATTAGTAATGTAAAAACTTCTAAAAGTTGTTACTTGTCTTTTCATTCTGCTTTTTCAGTCCACGGCAACTGTTTTCTAGCCACTCTCACTTTGCCTTGTAATGAATCCCAGAAATGTTGGTTGGAAGGGGCCTCTGGAAGTCATCTAGTCCAAACTCCCTGTAGAAACAGGATGGTTGCCAAAGCAAGATCAGCCATGGCTTTGTCTAGTTGAGTCTTGAAAACCTCCAAAGATGGAGATTTCACAATCTAATTTACTGCGGTAGTTTGTGAAGTAACGTAAAACAAAATCTGTGAAATATCTTTGGAGTTCGACTCTAAATATTTCTGAATCAGATTTTGGCAGCCGTTGCCTGGCAAAAAAGCTGCATTGCCACTTCTGTATGAAAGATAATTGCAGTGTACTGTAAAGGTGGGTTTCGCATCACGTAATTTTAGCTACATATGAATTAGGTACCTAGTTTGTTAACCAAGGAATCTCCCTCTATAATCAGTCCCTCCAAAGAAGTCCCTCCAAAAGACTACTTCTCCCTCTCAGGGGTGGTTGGGATGAGTCGTTCTCAGGAAGGACTGCTTTTTCCCCACCATTTGCAGGGAGGGTCCCGTTACCATTTGGTGTCAGACTTGCTTAGATGGCTTCAGCCAGATGCGGGGCATTCCTTCCCCACTGGACCAGGGTAGCATGGGGACTACACCCACAACTCTGTTCAAGTGGGAAATCATTGTAATTAGCAAATACTGCAAAAAAACCACATGAGGCAGAACATTGACTGACAACCATAGCTATCGATGCCTTCTCAAGCGCTTCCCTCATGCTCTTCCTTCATTTTCTGGTTTGGGGTTTTTTGTTTATTTGGCCGTAATGATTTCACCTTGGTCATCATGCTACCCTATTGGTTTTTTGGGTGCAAAGGGGTAATGAATTGCTTTGTATTTGAATTCTGATATTTTCCCAGGATTATCGTGGCTTGGAAGAGGGGGACTCAAAGATGGGGGGTTTTTTGGTTGGATTTTTTTTGGTTTTTTTCTCTTGTTTTTGGATGTGAGTTTTGCAAACATTTGGGGGAGGAAAAAGCATTGTGATGTGGCTGATAGAGGAAAGATTTTGCAAGCAGCAGTTTATTGCTTAGGATGCCTGTGGGGACTGCATGGTTATGCAAACTAGTGCCCCAAAGGGGAAACATCCTGTCATTCCTTTAGCATAACATGCACAGTAGATAGAGTGAGGCATGGCCAACGCTGTCTTAGTGCAGAAAACATCTTTAACTACAACTTACAAAGCATCTTTTTTTCATTCCGACTCTTATTATCCTGCCAGCAAAGAGGTGGTAAAGTCTCTGTTCCTCATGGAACAACATAGGAAAGGATATGTTTTGCTGTTCTTATTACCTTTGATCTTTTGTTGGTTCTTCAGGTTCACTTAAGTTGCATATACCAAGATGAAAAAGAATCTGACCTTTCTGAATTGACTTCCTCGCTCTGCTGTTGTTGCATGGATGTTGCGTGAGAATGGGTATTTTTCTGTCTGCAATCTGTAAAGTGGCTTGCTGTGTGTTATTAGGTATTGCGGGAGATTTTGTTATATTTCTGTCTTCCTTAAGACTTAAGTCTGCTGATTTAGTCAGTGACAATGGCATTAGAAGTGAGTGTTAGTACAAGTTTTCCTAAACCTCAACTTAAATAGATGTGTTTTAAACTTTACCAAATAAAGTATGTTTCCAAACAATTGTGATAAAGTGCATATAGCCTTTCTGATGGTTGCAATGTTTGTACTTGCTGGGCCTGAACTATCTGCTGTCGTACGTGCCTTGGGAACAGTGTGTTGAAGGTCTCTCTGTGATGCATTGCAGGACCCTGAGGATGCTGTGCCTGTTGGGCAGAGGAGGGCCTGGTGCTGGTGCATGTGCTTCGGATTGGCCTTTATGCTGGCTGGTGTGATCCTGGGTGGTGCCTATCTGTACAAATATTTTGCATTCCAGGTAAGTTAAATACATTTTGTTATGGGAGGGTTGCATTTTTCTCTGTTATGCTTTACTTTTAGAAGAGGGAAGAGGAGCAACAGACTAAACCCAATAGCCTTGCTTCTCCCATTTTTATCTTTCTTTAGATCTTGCCTATCTCAGCTTTTCTAAAGGCAAAGTGTATCACCTGCTCTGAAGTTACCTGTTGGCAGAGGAGGGCAAGAACAAAGCTGGCAAATAAAAGAGCGCAACACTTTTGAAAACCTTACTTTGCAGAGAAAGGATTATATCTAAATAGGACTTGGGTTTAGGAACCCCAGTGGTGTCCCAGATTTTCACCTGCTCTCTCTCCTGTTTCGCAGTGCCGAATACTGGAGGTGGATTAACCCCTTGAAAGCCTCCTTGTTTGACCCCAGATTTCCTAGATGCATGCGGTACTGCTAATGCACAGGAAAGGGACTGCTGTCAAAGCACTGCGGTGACTCTCCTCCTTCTTAGCCTCCACAGGGATAAGAAATACAGGCCCTGCAGGGGACTTGGGAGAAGCACAGTCAATGTGGCTAAACATGCTCTGTCAAGTCTAATCCACGCTGACAAGATCAGACCTCTGCCAAAATGTATTTTCAGTCTTTAACAAATGGCACCACTGCAAGAGGAGCCCTGTGAAGTCAATGGTGCCAGGGAAGTGGAGCATTTACCTGAAACATGGGAGATCCGAGTTAAATATTGTCTTTCTCGGGGGGAATCGTCACTGGGCAGCACTGGATGTGCTGGGCTGTTGCCCGCGTGGTGCAAGCGCACCCTCCCGCCTTCAGAAACTGCTGGGGTTGCAAGATTCACAGTCAGAAAGGGAGAGTATGAGCAAAACGTGAATCTCTCTAGCCACTGGTTAGTGCACATAATTATAAGGTAGAAATTCTGTGTTCTTGTCCCTGCTACCAGGATTTCCTCCCCCCGCACACCTCCCCCCGCCGTTTTAGTAGCTGCTAATGTAGAAGGCAAAGTAGTTAAACATGACAAATTCTAGCTGAACTTGCAGTTTATACTCTCTGGCTATCACGTTAACCTAATTTACAGGGGCGCAGTAGTGTTGCAAACGATGCTTAAACAGCATAGCGTATCTTAGTGATTTAACAAGCTCAGAGTAGCTGAAGGCCTGCTGCATTACTAACGCATGTTTCATCCCTGCTTAGCACCACGGTGCTCCACCTTTCACATGCCAGCTAGCTGAAATTGAAAGGGCAGTTTAATTCAAACCTGTGGTACTTGTTTATGAGTCAGATCTGGGTTGAAGGAAACATTAAGGAATTGAGCTAACGTTGCACTGAAGACATGTTTTCAGCGTGAAACTTTAAATTTATGGCATGTGCATATGCATAAGTTGTATGTTTCTAAAACTATCTGGCCTATAAATTTGGTATATGACTTCCTCTGACTCGGGATTTTATTTTACACTTCGCTTAGGAAACCTGCCATGTGTATTGTGACAGAATGACACAAATTGGTTGTTTTAAATGCTTTTTATTACCTTTTTGTCTTTTAAAACTGTTTAAAACAAAAAATAATTTATTTTAGAAACTGACTCTCAAAACTTCCGAAGCCTTGCAAAACTAAGCAACTTCACAGAATAATTGAGGTTGGAAGGAAGCTCTTCAAGTCATCTGGTCCAACCCCCTGCTGCAAGCAGGACCAAATTCAGAGTTAGACTTGCTTTTTAAAGGTGATTTGGATGAACAATTTCAATGTCTTAAGTTGTAATTATTGGCTGCAGTTAAATCATAACAAAATAATAATACTACTACTAATATGCATGCATATAGACGTAGGAACGTCATTGTCTTTCTAAAAATAAGATGCAATGTGCCACAGATAATGGATGCAAAATAGAATTTAAAAACCTGCTTTTGGGATCCTGTTTACCTTGAATTCAAGGGAAGGACTCCCCCTGGGTTCAGTACAATCAAGGTTTTACCCATGGTCCTGTTGTAGATAGCAACTGGCTCCTACTTTGGTGTATGAATCAAATTAAAGGGAAAACATTTCATCTAGTCTGACAAGTTTTTCTTCTCCACAGTGCTTTGAGAATATTAGTTTTAAACTTCCAACAAGACTACTGATGTTTTTGTTGCTCGGTTGTTTACTATTTTTAGCAGGGTGGTGTGTATTTCTGTGGAATAAAGTACATTGAAGACGGCTTAAGTTTACCTGAGCCTGGGGCAGAGGCTCAGAGTGCTCGCTACCACACTATTGAGCAAAATATTCAGATCCTGGAGGAGGAGGATGTTGAGTTTATCAGTGTGCCAGTCCCTGAGTTTGCTGATAGCGATCCTGCTGATATCGTCCATGACTTCCACCGGGTAAGAAATATTTCTGAAGAAGTTCAAAGCATTTAAAACTTGAAAAGTGTTCCCCCTCAGTCATCCTGAAAAATGTACTCCCTAATTATTGTGGTGGGGGAAGGCGGAGGGCGGAGGAGGCAGCAGAAACGTTTTGATCAGCAGCAGACTGCAAGCAATTATTAACGAGGCATTCAAAGTACATCGTGATACAATCATGAGGTAGTTTGTAAACCACCATTTGCAAATATGGTTCTGTTTTTAGAAAGGGAAAAATCTTAGAGCTATTTCCTTTCCTTAGTATGAGGAAGTAAAGAGAATATAGTTCTTGCTGTGCTGTGTCCACCGAGCCAGAATTTGACCAACTGCTGTGGTGCCGAGGGCTGTCATAACTTTGACCTCAGCTTGCAGGGGCTGACTGCATCTGATGTCACTAGGTATCTTCAAGCACCCCCAGAGGTTGCTCTCGTAGCATAGCTCAAAAACCCCGAAGCAGCAGCAGAAAGGGAAGGAAGCGACCAGCTGACCGGCCGCGGAAGACAGCTCGTTTTCCAGATGCTGTAGGAAACTTAGCAGAAGCTAAATTTTCCTTGTGCACCACAGGCTACTGTGATTCCTAAAGGCACTGAGCCAGGGTATCAAGGCACTTTTAGCTGTTTCTTCCTCTTTTGCAGAAACAACTTTGATTGATAGGAATCGTGGTAATAAATTTTTGGTAAGGCAGTTGACAGCCTGCAGCCCTCGGTATTAATGACAGAGCTGTAAAACAATTAGAAACTCTTCTTTTCTTTATCAGCCTGATGGAAGCTGTCTGATAGCGATGAAATGTTCTACAGCTGGTTTTCAGGCAGCTAAATTTCTGTGAACATCTGAAGACTTCGCTGAATAGCTTTTTTAAGCAAGGCTGAAAAAGAATAGGGAAGCATCCTATTTTTTTATGCAAACTTCAAAGTTTCAAGTTTTCCAGGCAAAATGAGTGCTATCTATCAAATATTCATAACCAGATTTGGAGGAAGACATTGCTTGCTTGAGCTATGTAATTTAAAAATATTCCTGAATACATTTAGGGAGCTTCTGTTAAGAGTTAGAGCAAAGCTTCTAAAGAGGGAAAACCAGAAAAAAATGCAGTATGTAAGAAGTGAATAGGAACAATATAATATTAGAAATTTACTTTTTGATTTAATGGGTTAAAGGCGTTGCTCTAAAGGTCAGTGCAAGGATCATTTGCCATAGGCACAGCACTTACTCCCATGTAATGAGATTAGTTGCACTGATGATTGCTGTCCTGGTACTATTTTGACTGTTGGGCTCTTGTTGCTCAGTATTTTATATATGTCTGCAGCCGTAGAGCTTTCAGAGCTTGAGATAATGTCGTCTTTAGCAAGAACAGATGCAGTAAAACACAGCTCAGTGAACGCAGCCATAGAATTCATCAGGATAATTCCCTGGGCTTTTATATCTCCGTTTTTATCAAATAATGGCAAATATTGCAGTTCAGGTACTATAAAGATAATAATTTAGCTATGAATAATCATTAACACTTCAAGTCAGTAGTATTTTTGAAAATAAAAGGATTTTTGTTGTGTTACCTGTAAAAGTATTTTTTTCTTCTATGTTTTGTTCTTACCAGCAGCTTTTCCCCTTTACACTATAACAAAATATAAAAGTGTGGAGTTTAGAGCAAGGTTTTTGCCCTGTTGTTTCAAAATGCAAGCACTAGGAAAAAATGAATACTGTACTTGATTCCCTAACAGCTCAGATACACCTTTGTAATTTCATTACTATAATGCGTTTGAGCTACTTATCGCCTGCTGCCTTGCGCAAATCCCTGTCATAGATTTAAACTCTCATCCAGACTGCCTTTTATTTCTACATTTACCTGCCCTCAAATTGCAGTTTGCTGGACAGACTTTATAGTGAACAAAACAATAGTTTGAAGAACAACATGAGGCAATAGCAGTTTAGCAAAGTCTGTATATGAATTTTCTGATGTTTGTGTTATTTTGATTAAAATAAATATTTCCTCAACAGAGACTCACTGCCTATCTTGACCTTAGCCTGGATAAGTGCTATGTGATTCCTCTGAACACTTCAGTTGTTATGCCGCCAAAAAATTTCCTGGAGCTGCTCATCAACATCAAGGTACAGTTAATTCGTAAACAATTTGTTCTTAAGACAGGGAAAAAGGAGATTTTTTTTTTTTTTTTTTGCCCAGAACTCTGACATTCACACAAGGCGCACGTGTTAGAAAGTTGACGGCTCACTAGAGATCTTTGCAAAGAGAGAAAACAGCCTATAACATTCTTAGTTAATTAACTACAATCATGAAGGAATTACTAATTCAGAGGAAGGCAAACAAACCTGATTTTATTCTTCAATGCTACAAACTTGGCTGACAAAATTGTGTAAATGTGGTGTACCTAGACTCTTTGATAGTAGTCTATGTGTTTTTTAATTTATAATCCATTGTGACTAAAGTTTCCATAAAGCATGTACGCGGTGGACTAAGGCTGGTTAGCTGAGAGGCTTGAAGCAGATGTACTGGGAAATCCTTTTAATGTGGGCATCGTTTAAAGCATAGGTCCCTAGGGTTGGCCCCTACTTTGAACTGATCCAGTGAGGGTGATGTACGTGAGGTGTGTTGGATGCGCTGTGAGTGCTCAGGGGAGTTAGATGTGGCACCACATGTGATGGGCTAGTGCTGTGTGTGAGTTCATGAGGCTTCCGGCAGCCTTAAGATGGATCTTCCTGTTTCCAGGGAGGTTTTGTAGGAGTGATCAGGATTTGGATTGTATGGGGGCCGGTCCTGTTCAATATCTT